GTGCATCCTGGTTAATGAAACCTGGTTAATGCATGGATGTGCGTTAAACCTACCAAGGTAGGATCAGCCTGGGCAATATGGACGGGACCTGTCACAACACCACCCCACTCCCACCTCCATTTTCAGGGCTCCTTGCCCAGGCAAGTCCCGCCCAGCCGTTGAGCTCCAAGTCAAACAACCTTCCCACACACTTCCTGCCTCATCCTGGCAGACCTCGGGGGTGACCCCCTCCGCCGAGCACCCGGGTCCCGCACAGACAGTTCCTGTACACCACTTCTCAGGGATATTTTTTCCTCCCAACCTGTTTTTGTTTGTTTGTTTAACATATACTTGCTAAGTAACAGTGAACTAATGCTGGGTTAGGTTTTGCATCACCAGGACCCACGTACCCAAGAACAACCACCTAGAGGGGGAAAGTTTACGTGGGGCTCCCAGTTTTGGAGATCTCAGTCCACAGACTCCACAGCTGTGGGCCGAGGCGGGGCACATCATGGTGCAAGGGCTCAGTGGGGGGAGGCTGCTCAGCTCATGGAGGGTCAGGAAGCCGAGAGGGCCAGGGCCACAGGGAAGCTGCACCTTTCCAAGGTGTCCCCCGTGACCCCCTTTTTGTAGTCACGCCCATCTGCCTACAGTTACCCCCCAGGGGGTCCATTCAGACTCGGAGGGACTGATGGGGTCACAGCTCTCACCGTCCAGTCATGGTACTTCTGAATATTTCTGCATCGACACGGAGTTTTGGGGGACACCTCACCTCCGCACCATAACAAATGCAGAGGAAAAAAATCCCCAAATGGCCCAAGACCCCTTCACCTGTGCGCCAATCCCCCTTCCACCCAGAAGCCATGACGTCAGAGCTGTGGGCCCCGCTTCCCGAGCCTCCTTCTAGGGGTGACACACATGGCCACGCACCTGCAGACGAGTCCTTTACCCGGGCCTGTGATGTCACACTGCAGGTGCACCTCAACACCATGCTTATCTCTGATCATGCCACACTCCATGTCCCCACCGACTTGTGTCCTCTTGTATCTGCTGATGACCTTCCTAGGGGCATGACCTGGTGCCTCACTGTGGCTTTGATCTGCCTGCGTTTCCCTGGTGACTCGTGCCCGTGGGCACCTTCTCGAGGGCTCACTAGGCCCCGGTATGTCTTCTCGGAACTCTCTGCCCGTTTTTTAAGCTGGTGATTTGTATTGTTATTATCGGGATATGATCGTGCCTTCCAATTTGTGAAAAGAAGTCCCTCGTCAGGTGTGCAGTTTGCAAAGATCCTCTTTGACTTTGTGGGTCATTTCTTGGCTTTCTTGATGGCGGAGGTTGAAGAGCCATGGTACCTCATTGTCACTGAGTCCAGTTCACTGTGTGTTTCTTTCATAGAGCGGCACATTCGAGACCTTTGGCAGGGGACAGACGACAGTGAGTCAGGGTTGGACCTGAGCTATCTCGATATTTGGGATAAATGTTGCTTTTTGCTGTTGGGGCGAAGGGTTCTTGTAATCCTTGCTCAAAGGCCGTTGGGCCTGGGTTTCACTAAGCAAAAATTAAAAAGGACAGACCGAGGAGCCACCTGACCACCTGGCCCTTCCTGTCCCCTGCGCGGCTTAGAGGAAAAGGCCTATGTCCAGGGGCTGGCTCCTTGGGAAACACCAGGACCCGGTGATTTCCCCACGCTGTTTCCTCTTCACCCCTGTTCCCGCCCGCCCACGGACGCTAATTTGGTTTCAATCTGCTCTTCTGTCATTTATCTTTGAGAAAGAGGCAATTTGGGGACGCAGCGCAGTCTATTTATTTATCCGATGTCTCTGGACTGAGTGTGAAAGCCAAGAAGACCAATTAGCGACGTCATGAATCAGGTTCGATTGACACTTCACTTGTAGGGGAAGTCGTTTGTTAGTTTAAGACCTTATGAGTTAATTACCGGCCTCGGTTCTTCAGACCGTCGGCCGAGCCTGGGTGTTTTCACTCTAAACAGAGCATGAAATCAACACACTGCACTCGCATGTGGCTTCAATTTACCAAGGACCTCGGCTGGAGTCAACGGTGCAGCTCGGCAGCAGAACCCAAGCTCGGTGCTCTCGGGTCTGCTTGCTAATTGTTCTTCTTTCCCTCCCTCCCCCTTGTCCCCAAACCAAGCAAGGTCAAGGGCCCGTAGAGGGACAGTCTGGGACGCTTGTGACCCACAGCCCAGGCCCACACACACTCCTGGCCAAGGTGACGTCAGCCACTACATTGAAGTCTCCACTTCTCTTTCCCCGCGTTGTGTTTGGAGAGACAGCAGAGTCGAACTTGTGTGGGTGACGGTGACCCGTCCACCTCGGGTCAGCTGGGACTGTCTGTGAGTGGAACTCGGAAGGCCTGGAAAGGGGGGGCCGGCTCTTGGGGATCCTGGTGACACTTCTGGAAACTCAAAGACGGAAGCCACATGGAGCCAGGAACAGAACTACAAAGCCAGGCGGGAGCTCTGGAAAGGCAGCCGCCGGCCCTGCCCGATCCTCTCTGTGTCTCCTGGTGCGGGGGTCTCTGCATGCATGCACCCTGTCTCTCGGTCTCTGGGTCTCTGTGATGCACGCTCACCTCCTGTGTCTGTTCTGTCTCCAGGTACCCCCCTCTCTCTCTGCCACGTACACACCGACTCACTCTTTCCACCGCTGTCTCTGAGTGCACGGGATTCTCGCTTCCTGTCACCCACAGTCTCTCTCTCTGTCACATGCTGTGTGTGTGTCTCTCTCTACATGTCCCTCTCTGAGCCTCTCCCCTGTCCCCTTTCTCCAGCCTCCTTCCCACTTTGCTCCTGCAGAGCATCACGGCGGCCCTGTGACCCCACTGAACAGGGTGGGCAGCAAGGGCTCAGCAGTGTCCTACCTCCCGCTGCCCCGAGCTCTTCACGGCCCTTGTCTACCTGCTGCACTGGATGGTCAGCGTCCCCTGCCCTGCCTCTCTCCAGCTGTGAGCTCTCTGGATGGGAAACGGCTTGGTTCACCATGATCACTGGTGCAAGGAAGAAGCTCAAGAAATGTTTTCAGGAGCCGGTCGCCGTGGCGATGCCTGTCATCCCAGCAGCTCGGGAGGCTGAGGCAGGAGGATCGTGAGTTCAAAGCCAGCCTCAGCCAAAGTGAGGCGCTAAGCAACTCAGTGAGACCCTGTCTCTCAATAAAGTACAAAATAGGGCTGGGGAGGTGGCTCAGTGGTCGAGTGCCCCTGAGTTCCATCCCTGGTAACCAAAAAAAGAGAGAAACATTTGCCGGAGTCAATAAACTGGGGCCGCCCCCTGGTCAGCTGAGAAAGACTTTGAATCTCTCTGCCACACACACTGCCTGTCCCATCCAAACCAAAAGCCCCACGTGGTGGGAACGGATGCTGGGGACACAGTCCACCAGGCTTTGGCACAGGAGGGGTGGGTGGACGGGGCAGCACGGCGGGTCCCAGCTCTGGGTCCCTGGACGGCAGTGGGCTCTGAGGATCCACTCATCAGGAAGCCCTGAGCCAGCCAGCGCTGCTCCCGGCCTGGGGTTGCTTGGCGCCTGACCTGTGGCCTCCCCATCGGTTTCCTGTCAGCTTCCCCATTGATTCTGAATTTTATTATCGGCTTTCAGAGCGCGCCAGGACCCGGGGCTCTCCTCCACACATCGATCTCCTTGTTCCTGGCTGAGAGGCTCGCCTTCCCGTCTTCATCTGCTGCCTGGTGACCGGCCCCCTGTCTTGTACTTGGAGCTCGCTGGCGTGTTCTGGGTCAGGTCATTTCCTCGGACGTCTGTGACGCGGAGTCAACCCGAGCTCAGTTGGAGGCTGTGTATTCCCCGGAGCGCGTGGCCCGAGCTGAGCTGTGCCTACTGCACACTGGCCGTGTGTGACCTCACTTCATCGTCCCCAGGACCCGGGTGCATGGATGATTCATCACCGGACCAGCAACAGGGAAACTGAGGCTCAGAAAGGCGCAGCTGCTCAGCGGCCCTAGAGGATTGGCCTCAGCTCTACAACAGAGCTGCAGAAGCTCGGCAGCCGCTGGGTAGTCTCAGCACCAGCCTGAGGCACACACAGCTCGTCCCCACGCCCACGCTGCTCTGAGCCACGCGGGACAAGACAAGTCCACGGATCACACACTGAGCTATCTCGACAGCGTGAGACAGTGATGAGGTTCCTAATGGCTGCGGGTGAGCTCAGGGGCAGGGCCAGCATGCCCTGGGTGTCATCCCAGCAATGCAAAAAAAAATAAATAAAATTATTTTTAAAAACGTTCTTATAAGCTCAGTTCTGTACTGCACCTGGCTACCCACTGAACCCCCGATTCTCAGCTCACACTCTAGTGGCCCTCGTCCGGGGACACTGCTTTTTCCCAATACACTCTCCCCACTCCCTTTTGTCCCCATCGTCACCCAGGGAGTGAGGCTGGAACCACAAGCTCAGCGTCCCCTCTTGGACCACTAGGGAGGTCTGTCCTGACACCAGGGTTTCCAAGGCCCTGGCCGGCTGGCTGGCTCCTGTCTCCCACGGCCCAGGGCTCGGCAGAACTTTCCGGCAGGTTTCTGCCCTCTGTCCCCCCTGGCGCTCTTGTTCCTTCTCAGCTCCTCCTCCTCCTCCTCCCCCCTCTCCTCCCCCTTCCCGTGCTGCGGCCGTCCACACCTTCCTTCAGCAGCTGTGTCTGTCAGTCTTGGTGTCTCGGGGCAGGACAGGGAGTGGACGCTCCGTGGCATCATTCATCTTGACACTGGTACCTGCATGTGTGGGCAGCAGGACCCAGCCCCATGGCCAGCTCCCTGAGGGCACTGTGGATCAACCTGACAGTGTGACAGGGAGGCCCGCGTCCCCCTCAGCGCAGTGACCACAGGAGGGCCCTTGCCAGCTGAGGCGCACCTTCATCCCAGGGACCCTGGCCATCAGGCTGCACGGTCGCCTGGCTCTCCCTGTGCCTGCTGGGACTCAGAGCCAAGGACCAGGTGTGTGCTGCCCAGGTGGGCACAGGGGCAGGGGCCAGGGCCACTCACACCCAGCGTGTCAGTGTCCTCATTGCCACCACCCCTTTGCTAGTAAGTAACCTTCCAACATAATTCAGCCTGGTAAGGGCTGACTCTGTGGGTCAACTTGATGGGGCCACGGCACCCAGGTATTTGGTCAAGCATTATTGTGGAGGTTTCTGTGACGGTGATTTGGGGATAGGACTAACATTTAAATAATCAGTGGACTTTTGAGTCCAGCAGATTGTAGTCCATGACATGGGTGGGTCTTGTCCAACTAGTCGAAGATCTGAATGGAGCAAAGAGGAACCACCCTGAGCAAGGAAGAATTCTGCCTGCAGACTGCCTTGGCACTCCAACTACAGCCCTTCCCTTGGTCTCCAGCCTGCAGGCCTACCCAGAAAATTTTGGCCTCGAACTTCCACAATTACATGAGTCTACCTACTTAAACCCTGTCGATTCTTTCTCTGGGAAACTCTCATACGGTGGGGAAGAGCATGAATTCTGGAATCATAATACTGAGAGTCGATTCCTTTTTCTCCCATGTTCCTGGCTGGGTGCCTTTGAGCATATTGACTTCTCAAAGTCTCAGTTCCCCCCTCTGTAGGCCAGGCATGATCGTAGTGCCTGCTCTTGGGGTGCCAAGGGGATTCAGTTGAGCAGCGGACGTGGCTTATGTGAGAGGTACAGGCCCCGGGCTCCTGGAATTACCTAAGCCCTCCCAGCTGGACCTGTGCAGTTCCTCTCTCTTGCCGTAGTTAACAGGATTCCCAAGGTGGCACCCTACCCAGTCCAAGTGGTTGACAGAATGGATTTAGAAAGATGTATGTACCTGGAAATGGAGAATCTCTTTCCCCACAGAAAGGCTAACCTGTCTCCAGATTACCCGCCCCCCCACAAAGCGCCACATTGGCTGGGAGCTCGGAAGCTCTGCATCTCCATTTGCATTAAACACACTCAAGCCATTAACAATTACCAAACCTTCTGAAAAATCAACCCAGGGGTGGAAAGTTAGCCCTCCTGGCTACAGAGCTGTCTCTCCACTTTACCTCCCTGGCGTTCCAGAGCTAATAAGAGCTTAAGAAAAATGGCATTAGGAAGCCGCCGTACAATAAGGTAGCTCAAATTATACAACTTATCTCTCTGGGTGGCTTGCTTAGGAAGCCACATATGAGTTTCTAATTAAAGGAGTATTAGAAGAACACATCCATAAATTTCAGAGCCAGGCTTAATTTTCTTGTTTGAAAACTGCCAAGGAAGAGAGTAGATTGCAAATATGTGAAATATGAGAAAATGAGACTTAATGAATTCTGAGTTTATTCACTGAAGTATTTAACTATCCAAGCCATCAAGTGAGGATAATAAATTTGAGTGTGCCATAAGCCTGGGCCACTTTAATTCACATTTGTAAAATGAGCTATAAATAAAGGGCCCGATTCAGTGCTTAATTTTTAGAGATGTATTAACTCATAATGCCTGTGCCTGCAAGATGCCCAGCGCTGGAGGGAAATGGAAAGGTCTTTGGCTGGAGATGACCCAGACACTTGGAGCCACATAAGGACTCGCCTCGCCACAGGGCTCAGCACAGGGCTTCATATAGCCACCGCCTGCATTTGGAACCAGAGTTTTGACTGAAACTTGATTCCATTTCTGCTGGCAGGTGAGACCAGAGTTTCTCTGTTTCTGCTGGTGGATGGGGGCTACATAGCAGCCAGGAAGTGTTGGCACTCTCAAGCATAGGCTAGGCAGCACCCCAAGGTTCACCTTTAATTCCTTCTTTACTGGTTCTCATACCAAATTTGAAAAATAAAATCCACAGACCAGAATAAGCAGGGAAATTATTGAAAAAGAGAAATCAGGAACAAAACCCTGCAACACAGCAAGACACCGACCAAAACACCTTCTCCCACGGAAAATCCGAGACTCAAGGTTTATATAGCACTTGAGTCACTGCTAGCCATCCAAACTTATGCTAATTAGGGTTTGAAAAATGTACCAATGCTATTGCTCCAAACTTATGCTAATTAGGGTTTGAAAACAGAACCAATGGTATTGCTCCAAACTTATGCTAATTAGGGTTTGAAAAAAGAACCAATGCTATTGCTCTAAACTTATGCTAATTAGGGTTTGAAATAAGTACCAATGCTATTGTTCCAAGCTTATGCTAATTAGAGCTGGAAACGGTCTAACGCTATTGGTCAGTCAGCTGTCGAGTCTCGGATCCCATTGGCTCTGCCCGCTTCCGGTTTTTTTTTTGGGGGGGGGGGTGCGGGTCAGGCAGCGGAAGGTTGAGTTCTTCACAGGTTCCCGCCTGTGGCGCTCTGTGGGGCGGGCTTTCTGCGGCAGACCTCTGCGCCTACAGGGCCTCGCCGCCCAGGGGGACAGGTCAGTGGCCTTGGCTGCTGAGCGCCCCGTGGTCTACTTGGGGTTCTGTGTGGCCCCCGGCTGCCGCCTGGGCCCCAGCCCACCCGGCTGCCGCTCTGCCAGCCCCCCTGCTTCTCTCAGCAGGTCCAGCAGGCCAGCAGGTGGCGGTGTGGCCTGGCCGCCAGGGAGCCCTGTCACGGCGCCTGGACCGGGGAGGGGCAGGAGGACCCTGCAGTGGGCAGTTAAGGCAAACTTAAGGAAAACCGAGCCGTCCGTCCGTGGGGGCCAGCTCGCTGCTGCTGTAAAGAGCGCCGGAGACACGGCATTTAGGGTGTTCTCTGGCCCTGGCGGGTGGCGTCCAGGAGCAGGGCGTGCAGCGTGGCCAGAGGGCAGCAGGCAGCCACCAGGGCCACCATGGGGCCCCACCCATGACCTCCTGTGGTGATTATTGCCAAAAGCCCACCTCCCAGACCATGAACACCCGAATTTAGGGACGTTTCCGACTTACAAACTCGGGGGTGGGGGGGGCAAGTTCAATCTGGGGCAAAGGAGAGGACAGTTGTGAAGAAACCAGCCAACCCTCAAGGGACAAGAGGACCGCGTCCTGTGTGGCTCTCCACAGCCTGCCCTAGGGAGTCCACATTCTTGGGGAAAGAGAGGGACAGGTCAATCCAGGGGGGGGGGGGGGGGGCCCCCAGATACAGAGGGGTACACAAAAAAAAGGGGGGGGGGGCACTGCTCAGCTGGGCTCAGTGCACCTGGACCTGAGTGAGGAGGAGCCCCGCAGGGGACAGCTGAGCATTCCTCATGCATAGGATCTGTGGTGGCCTCAGCAGAGCAAGCCTGAGGGTCAGAGGAAAGCCCCAGGGCTTGCAGGCAGTGAGCGGAGGAAGGAGCAGGAGGAGTTAGGGGGAAGCTGTGAGGAGTTGGGGTTCCCTTGTGGATGTGGTGGGGAATGGCAGAGGACCTTAGGCCAAGTGACAGTGCAATCTGATTTACATTTTAAATGACCACTGCGGCTGCTGCAAAGAGGACACACAAAAATAGCATCAGGGAGACCAGTCACCAGCTGCCTATGGAGACCAGGGGCTGGCACCAGGGGGGAGGTGTCAGGGCAGGGCAGTAGATGGAGATATGATGTGTCCTACCTTCCCCACATGTCCCTCTTCCTGCACTTGGTAGACAGGGGTCCCCTGAGCTTTGAGAAAGTCGTTATCTGAAAATTAAATTGACTTTTTTTTTGCATAGCATCCTAAATTTTGTGCATGCTATATTTACTACTTGTGAAATTGAGGCAAGCAAATAGCATTTTTTAAAAAACTGTTCAACAAAAGAAAGAAGGGTGAAGGGCATGTTGGCTTAAAATATGTGGAAGAGGGAAAGAAGATATAAGGGCCTTTGGTAGATGGTAGGCTCAGTGGGGAAATGGAATTTTTGTTGTGTGATCAGAAAAACGGTGTCTAGAATGAGGAGGGTGATTCTTCTTATAATGATGGGGTTGAATATCCATGTAGGTGATACCTCAATTGGGAATCTGTAAGTGGGAAATTTAGTAACTTGAGAAACAATCAAGAGTTAATCACAAAAATCAGGGTATTCTTGAGAATAGAATGGGATCCAAACAACCCTCTAAGAAAAGAAGACTCGGGTTCTGGAGAACCATCATTTTGATCACTTGGATGGAGAATGAGGAGGTCCTCCACCAGGCTGGCCCAGAGCTTGGGTTAGCTCTTCCCATACCACTCTGCTCTTCCAAAAAGCTTCCTGAGTCCTCACGAGTCCCCATCCTCTTGTACTGAGCTGTCCCTGGAGGAGATGTGTCCAGGTGAAGGGCACGAGGTTCCAGTCTCTGGAAACACACTTGCCCTCTGCTTCATCAGCTATTCATTGGTTTATCTATCAGTCCCTTGAGGGTAAGGT